GCGGGGGTCAGGTAAAGGTGTGGTAAAGGCTTCCCCGGATCGAGCTGGGGAATTTACCCGGCTCCCTTTACATCTCCTCGGCGTCTTTGCCCGGGGTGGGGGGTGGTGAAGACCTCTGGGTGGTGAGACGGTTTTGCTGGGGAAAAAGCTGTCAGCGCTTAAGTACCCGCTGCTGGCTCTGGGGTGAGGTTTGGGGCTGAAGGATGGAGAGGAGCTGTGGGGTGCCCCCCTTCCCTGGTGCGCTTGGCACCGGGCGGCTCTGTCGGGCGCGCTCAGCCTGAGAACAGGCAGGGCAGCTTCGGCGGTGGGAGCAGAGGGCATTCCTCTGCCGCAGTGTCATGTATTGGGAAAGCCTCTCCAGCAGTACCGTGCATCAGGAATGTAAAGCACTGATACTTCTTTGTGATTAAGGGGAGCTTTTAATAGTAGAAAGGACATGGAGTGCCCTACATGCACTTCAGAGGTTTTAGTTGCTCATTCCTCAAATTATTCCATGTGGCACTGCTAAAAAAAATTCTGCATTCTGCCTTTAAAATAGTTATATTTGAGATTGAGATTGATCTGCCTACAAGTACTCAGTAATGCTCATCCCCCCCCCCCAGCTTTACAAAGGATATTAAAACTATTATATTTGGGGATGCAGACCATAACAAATGGTCTAACAATTCCACTTTTTGAAGAACACGGTAATGATTTGTTTATATTATTGTATATAATCTGCATATGTGTTGAAAATACTTCTTCTTTTTCTTTTAAAAAAACATTGCTGTAAAGTTACTGTTTGTGACCTAGGGACCTGAAGAGGACCAGGAGTCTGAGTCGGAACTAACTGTGACACAACTGAAGGCACTGCGTAAGCAGCAGCAAGCAAAACTAGAAAAGACAATGTTGGGAGAAGACTCTGATGAAGAAGAGGAAAAAGAGGAGAGAAGAAGTGAGAAGAGTCAGAACAGTGATATGAGCTGCTCGTGGGGAATGGGTAAGTGATAATGCATAAATCAGCTGATACACCTTGGAAGGTCTTTAAGCCAGTTTTCAGTGAATATTAGGGCTGAAATTCCAGCCAGACACCCAGTGTCCCAATCCAGTAGAAGTTCTTGAGTATAAATTAATCTTTTTCCTTTTAAAAAGAAGGATGCTGTGACAAGGCAAGTGTATACCAGGTTATACCTGTGCTAGAGCTCCTTTTAAAAGGAAGAAGGTAATTTTCTTATGCCTATAAAAGGCCATGAAACTGAGAGTTTAGGTTAATGTTATATGGTTTGTTCCTGTGATGATGTCCACACTTTTGCCCCAGAGGTGAAATTGAATTGCTTGATACTTCTGTGCAGTATAGCTGTCTTTAAATTTAAATAGGAAGTCCACATCTTAAAGCTAGATAAATTGTAATCAACGAGCTTATCAGTAGAAAATGAGTTTGTTTTTTGAATGGAAATGTATAAGCACATAAACCTTGAAATCTTATAATGGAATAACTAATAGCAAAAAAAAGCAGTTGGTGGTTTTTTTATTGGATGCAGAAATAAAATTTAAGTTAAGGGAAATAATTTTAAGATGATGTAGCTGATACTTCTTTCAAACTAATGGAAGTTGAAATATACTGGTGTTCTCTTTCTTATGTTTCACCATATTTTTTTTTCACTTTGTTTGTCTTCTTCTAGGGGAGGATGCTGAGGAAGATGACGTTGAAGAAAACCCTATTGCTATTGATTTTCAGGATGTACAAGATGCCTTCTATATGAAAGATCCTAGAAAGGCCTTACAGGGCTTTTTTGACAGAGAAGGTACTTTTTTTTTTTAATTGCATCTAATGTTTTCTATTTAGCAAAGTGTGTTGTTTGCGCTCATGTTTTTGGAAATTAAGGTGTGGGACCTAAAATTTTCTATTACATTATGGGTAGGTTTTTTGTTTGGTCAGCTTTGAGGGCAGGAGGGTTGTTGGTGGTTTGGTGGTTTTGTTTGTTGTTTTTTTCGTGGGTTGTTTTTGTTTGGTTTTTGGGTTTTTTTATTAAAACTTAGCTCACCATTGTATATCTGAGACTTAGTTACCAATTCCTAAGCTGGTAGTTGCAGAGAGCACCTTGTATTCCTCTGAAGTGACACTCAAACCACACCTGCGCTTTGAAGCGATGCTGAAAAATGCAAACCCATCAAATTTCAGACTGTTCTGTTGGGAGGTGGCTATGATTGTGAGAATTGGAAAGTATAAAAAGACAAAAGGCAATAATGAATCAGTCTAAGATTTCAGTGGTTGTTAGTGAAACTTATAGATGACTCGTTTGCTAAAGTGAAAAATTAATCTTCAAGATAAACAATATTTGTGAATCCGGATTATAAACTATTGTTACTTCAATGTTGTTTTCTTTAATACATACAGAGGCAAGATTGTTTTTTCTTTGAACTACATATTCATGAAGAGGCCACTTAGAGACTTTTTTTTTTAATCTAAGAAAGCCTTGATTGTGAAAAACAGCCAAATGAGTATTATGCCAACTGAAGATTCTATGGCTTAAAACAAAAATAAAATAAAAAGAGAGGGAGAGAAGGCAAATTCAGTCCTTTGATATGTAGCAAGGGCATTTTATTTCTTGTTTAAATATGACATTCTCTGCTGTACAGGTTATTCCTGATTATTTCAATTTTGGTTACTACATTAACGTTCTGTCTTTTTCTCTCTAGGAGAAGAGTTAGAATACGAATATGATGATCGTGGGCACAATAGCTGGTTATGCAGGATCAAGTATGTATATCTCCATTCACTTTTGTACATAGAAGCTGACTTCATTGAAGTCACAAACCAAAGCTGAAGGAATAACTTGTCTTTGTCACACTTGGCAAGGACGCCAGCTGGAATTAGGCCTAAGCCCTGATACCAATACAGATGTTGAAGCATTAGTGTCTGCACTCCGTTCTGGTCTGGCAGCACTTGGTTTGTCTTAGAGATGCAAATCAGGAAAGCAAGAGTCTAGGTTCTCTCAGTTCCCCTTGTTTTGAGAAATAGATGAAATTGAAATATGAGAGAAGAAACTGAGACACATAATCTTTCAGTTGCTAATGGGAGAGAGAAAAAAAATCATTCGTTCTACTGTGTACCAAATTTCAGTTCTTTTATGATATAAGGCAGTTTTCGATGGGTTCCTGCAAGAGGCCACTGATGTCATTCTTTTGTAAGACAGTAGAAGGTGAGGTGGAGATTAAGTCAACAAAATAGGTCTCAAATGGACAGGTACAACATTGCAATGATTGTACTGTTTAAGAAACCTTTGCTTCACCAGGGAAAATATTTGTTACTGGTATTGCATGTGTGCAAGATACTGGAGCTTAAAATGATCTGGGGATTGACGTTTAACCTTTTAACTTCTACTAATTCTAATGGAATTAGTATAGGCAGAGTTATTGTTTGGACTAGTCATAGAAAAATTTACTTGCATGCTTTAGGAAATCCATGCTTGTGTTTTGATTGGCAGTGTATGAAATGAAAAGTGAAAATATTTAACCCACAAAAAAAGACTAGAGTGAAATGGAAAAAACAATGCTAACATGATAAATAAAATATGAGTAGCATCCATGAAAAGCTGTTTGTATCTGCACTGTTCTCTGATCCTTCAAACTGAACAGGTTGCCTGTGGATGATGCATCAGGGAAGCAGCTGGTGGCAGAGGTTCTCCATTCAGGAAAGAAGAAGGAAGCAATGATACAGTGCGCACTGGAAGCTTGCAGGCTACTCGATGCTCGAGGAGTATTGAGGCAAGAAGCAGGTGAATAACTAATCAAATGCTGTGATCACTCTTAAAGACCTAAATAAGGGATTTTGGATTGCTCTCTTGAATTTGTTTTATTGCTCAGTGGTAGGCAAATAATCTTGTTTCTTGCCTTCTCCCTTACCTTTCCCAGTATCCCGAAAAAGGAAATCAAAGAACTGGGAGGATGAGGATTTTTATGACAGTGATGATGACACCTTCCTTGATCGAACTGGTGCTGTAGAAAAGAAACGACTGAACAGAATGAAAAAAGCTGGTAAAATAGAAGAAAAACCAGAGACTTATGACTCCCTGGTAAGAAGAATTACTATGACATGCCAGCCTTATTCTCGCATGCATATATTATTACCAAGAAGGAAAATAAAAAATATTTCCTGATCTTTCTCTGTTAGCTTGAACTCCAGTATCATTTCAGGCCTTTAGCTCTCAGTTGAATAAAATAGTGGGGTTTTGATTTGTGGGCAATAGCTACAAATACTTGAAAATATTGTTTACTTTATTCTTGTGGAAGCATACCACCTTGCTTTTGCCTCTGTAGTATTGCCTTCTACTTTGTGGATAACAGCAGTGGGTGAATGAAAAATAGTTTTAAAATAGTAAACTTTTAAATAGTAAATAAGTAAATAAAATGGTAGGATATTTGAGTAACTCTTAAAGGGGCATTTTAAGAAGATAAGAAGATCTTCTAAGCATGTTGTTCTTTCATAGGTCACAAAGCTAAAGGAAGCTGAAAATGAGCTTTCTGAGATAACAGAGAAACTGAAGGCCTCAGGGAAAGGTAAGGCATGAAGTTTTTATGATTGTAGTGCTTTCGATGAAGAACAGTAAAGAGATTAAAATGTATCTTATGGATTTCTGTCTTAAGTGCTTTTGTTTAGTGTCCACTTTTCACAAAGGGGTTGGGAGATTCACAGGTCACTGCGTTAGCTGGAGAGGATACTTAACACTCTTACACCGAGTACATAAACTATTGGATTATGTAGTCACTTGCTATGAATGCAGCTTTTTCCAAAGCAACGTCTAAGTTAAGGTAAGGAGATAAGTGTACAAGCTCCTGGAATTTAAGAGGGTGAGCGTTATTACTGTTTATCTGCCCATATTAGTGAAACTGACCCAATTTGAGGAACTTTTTTCCACTCCTTCCAAAACCCTTTACAAGGGAAGAGCAAACAACTGACAGAAAAGACAGCATCTTTTATTTCACTTCTTTTATTGTAAATGCACCTTAAAAAGGAAAGGTGGGAAAACAGAAACGTGGAGTCACAGCAGTCGGCACTTAGCCCGTATGCTCAGTCAACTTGCTAGCTTATGAGGGTGCCATTTAACTTCTAGGATTATGCCTTTGCGTACGAAGGCAGAGCCTTTCCAAAGTGGTAGCTGTATCTGGTAGTGAGTTAGATTTAAAAGCATACTATACAAATAGCTGCATTTTGCTTTCTGTTACTGCTGATGTCCCATGGAATAAAAGGAAGGCATGAAGGAAATGTGTTTAGGCTGGTTCTTCATACAAAAACCTTTAACAAAGTTGGCATTAATAAAGGTTGAAATGTCACTTTGTCAGAAGAGTTTCTCTCCAAGAAACCTAGCAGCAATCTGACAGCTGGGCTCTCTTTTGTGCTTTATATGGGTATGTTTCTTTCTAGTAATTCAGCTCAACACCAAAACTCATTTGTGTCAATATTTTCATTGGTGATTGATCACGCCAGATCACTGTTCAGAAAACAGTACTGTTCCACCGAGCATTCTAACTGATGGGGCAGTTCAGTGGAATTTTTTTCAGCATGGTGGTACTGATAAGTAGCTAACGATTGACTAGCAGGAGAAGCTAATGCTTTATATTGTCTGAGACATGTAATTCCAAGATTTTGTATGTTATGATGCCTTTGTTTCTGCTGATACTGTTTCTCAACAAAATTGTTAAATCGTACTGTAGTAGAGGCTGGGAGAAGGAAGAGTCGGTTCATTTGTAGACTTCTACTAACAGCATATAATTCTGATATATGTTATCGTGGTTTGGTAAATTGTAACTAGTTACACAGCTAGTTTAGAGCCTTAGAAAAATTGCAGTCTCAGCACTTATTGCAATACAGAGTAATTCAGTATTGGATGGGAATATCCTAGAACTAGGCAGGCTAAAACATAGCAAAGATTGCATCATCAGTTACTCTGTCGGTGTGTGTGTGTTCTAGACACATGTGCTTTCTCAGGTTTCTTTGGATGCTTCAGGTGAATCACAGGTGTTGTGTACAAGTGTAAGCCAGGAACATGCGTATTGATCATAGGTGATTTTTACCACTGTCATGAGCTGTCTGGCAAAGCTGCTGCATTACATACAGTTCTGAAACCTTAACACACTGTTGCATGCTCTAAAGGATTATGTGTAGCCTAAGGGCAAAAGTGTAGAGACACAGAGTGAATGACAGGCTACATTGCAACACCTCTTACTAAGCACTTGGAGAAATTAAGTGGTTGTCTAAAAGATTGCAGTGGAAGTTCACAAATTGTTCTCTGGAGTTCTTCAGAACTAACTACTGGTGGATTGACTTGGTATCTCTCATTCACGGATGCAGCTGAATGAAAATCAAGTACATAGAACTCTTCAGTCTCATATTTGGTTGCCTGTTCAGAAGAAAATTATCAATAAGTTGATGGTGCAGCAAATAGCCTTATAGCTTTTTTCACTGGAATATAAAGTATAATAACCATGATTGATTCACCTCCTAGCAATGTCAAATTTGATTTCAATAGCGTAGAAAACTGCTGCAACAGATACCAAATGCAACAGTAAACCTGTATGCTGAACTACCTGATCTTAGGCACTGTTGGTAGAATCCGGCAGAGAATCCTATTTGCAAGAAGGGTAATCTGACTCTTTGAAGATCACTCAGTGACTGAAGCACTCTTACGCTGTTCTGTAGCTAAAGAAGTGAGCTGTGGAACTATACCTTTAATTGTTCTGAATTCTCTCTCTAGACACCAAAACGTATCTTTGAAATTTGATGTTTAAATCAAATGTTCGTTCTGCTCAGCTCCTGCCTGCTAGGAGTTTCAGACTGTTTGTTATCAATACCTTTTCATTGATGATTTTTGTCTCAGCTCGTACAAACAGTTAAGAGGAAAAAGTGTATTTCTATGTGAATTTCTTTTATGACATGTTTTGTCATCACTTATATTTGCGTGGAGATGGATGCTACAACAGTTTTCTTATCTTTAGGAGCCTTTTAATTCTGTATATCTTTGAAAGTTACTGTTGTGGCTTTCATATATTTGCAAATTGTAAACCATTTTGTTCTAGATAAGTAATACCCTTTTAAATTGAGACCATTTATAAACATGAGTCTTAGTAGACTTTTCTCTAAATATTTAAGTCATGTAAAACTGCTTGAATATGGACTCTTAATAAGTGATACTGTTTTATCTGTACACACTTAAAATTTCAAGTGCTACTTAATTAGCTCAAGCTGAACTGAAAATAACTCATTTGTCACATAGTTATTCTTGTGCGTATATACATAAATGCATATAACGCAGCAAATAAATACCGGATTTGCCACTTTTCGTATAATATTAAAAGGCAGAAGATTGTCTGTCAAAAGTCTTATTAAAATTCTAGCAACTACACTTTTCTGTGTTTGCCCCCAAGTTATTTTTGAACACAATCTAAAAACTTCTAAAGCATTGTTCAAGGAGTTTTCCTTTTTTTTTTTCGTTTGGGTTTTATTTTGAAATCCATGTGTTAGAATTCTGTGTTTAGTTTTCTTGGTCTGTAGTTTTTTCTCGAGTTTAACTTTAATTAGTCAAATACTCGTAGAATGATTAATATGTGAAATCAGGTGGAGTGGAAAGACTGTCATTACTCTCTTTCAATTACAGAGCAGTGTGTTCTTGTTAGAAAATGCAGTCAAAACAAAGGTAAATTTTGTGGGATTGGCTTAACATATGATACTATTCTTGATAGCACTCAGTCATCTGGGAGCAGGAGACAGCATCATGTGTTGATTCATTTCTAGCTTTGCAAATGTTATTACATAAACATTCCAGGAAAGCCAAAATGTCATTCCCCATGCAGTGGTGTGGGATTCTTTTGTAGCTGTGTTTATTTTAGTCTGCACTACAAAAAAAGAACCCTTAAGAACCCTATTTTAGGGACAGCAGATCTTGAAGTGAGATGAACAACCTAGAATAGAGACACTTACTTGTAAAGAAACATTCAAATTTAAGAAAGGTTTTGTTATGTAAGTGGATTAAGGTTTACTGTTGGGCTTTTGTTAGGAGAAATGTTTTCATCTTTTCAGGGCTAACAACCGCCATTACTTCACCATTCAACAGAAACTTGCTGATATGGTAGTTGTTCCTATATACTTTATTCTCTAAAGGTAGGATTTGATGAGTACAACCTGTAACAATATGTATCTTCCTTTTATCTTGCATAGCCCAATCCCAGCCAGCAGCTCAAGATTCCTTGGACGAATTCATGACCGAAATAAAATCAGGATGCACCTTAGACAGCGTGGCACGAAAGAAGCTTCACTTGCGGTCATTTGAACTGAAGAAAGAGCAGCAGAGACTGAAAGGGTTAATAAAGCTTGTCAAACCTGCAGAACTGCCTGAGCTGAAGCCCCAGTAAGTCTTGGCTAAAGTGTAAAATTATTCCTTTTACCGTTGTTATTGTCCATGGGCAGTTGTGCAAGCCCAGTAAGTAGACAACTTTCCAAACACCAAAGCAGGATGGCCTTCCAAATTACCTGGCTCATCTCTTTAAAAAGCCACCGTGCCTTTTGGCCCTTGCTGCATCTGTGGTGCAGGCAGATGCCCCAAAACAGTGGAGTAAGATAAGCCCGCACAGTGGGGATAAGGGGGGAGGGATTGGAAGCATGGTGTCAGCTTTGTTAATTTTTTTTTCCCAACCTGCATCCAAAAGGAACTGAAAAATTTTACAGTTATCATGTATAATGTGAAAACCACTTTCACTCTGTGAAATGTACCTGGAAGTCAAGTGTAGTGGCTGTTCAACTACTGCCTAGCAACGCTGCTGCAATTCAGGCAGGCCTGTGCTGGGCTCATCAGCTAGTGGCAGCTTGATTAGAGGTTTAATTAGGTTTAATTCATTTACTTAAATTGAGGTTTGGCTTCCGAGTGTGTTTATATATATATATATACATGTATATTATATCTTTATGTAAGTATGTGTGCGCAATTGAATTTTGAGAGAGTCTGTCTGATAGAGATTGTTTTCCTTACTTTTTTTTTTTTTTCTTGCTGTATGGCAAGTCTCTGAATCCTACAGTATGTATGTAGGACAGAGGAGTCATCTCCTGCAGCTTCTTCCTTGGGTGCTCCAAGTGAGAGAGAAATAAATAGATTTTTGTATACCTACTTCTAATTTGTGCTTTTTTTTGCATGTGTAAATGTAAGACGTTTGATACTTTGTACATTGTTTTCCTTTGTATCTGATTTTTCTTAGGAGCGGGAGTTACGGTCAGGAAGCAGAGAGCAAGCCTAAAAAGATTACCCTTCCTCTCTTTGGTGCAATGAAGGGGGGGAGCAAATTCAAGCTGAAAACTGGAAGCCTAGGGGTAAGTTGGACTTGAAAGTACTGTGAGTCAGAGGCTATTTCTCAAACACCTTGTGGAGGCTGTAGGTGGCAACCATGTCTTCTCCCATGTGTGGAAACAGCGCAGAGGCACAAGCGTGCAGCAGTGGAAGGTGCACAAGACAGCAGGCAGTGGCTGTTGCCCAGTTTGCTGTCAGCAGTTGCCGTTTTGCTACCTTGTACAGTCTCCAGTGGTGTCCTCGGGCACAGCTGTGGTCCAGAGGATCAAGTGGAGGCAGTCTGCGGACATCAGGCTGAACCACTGCTACACTTCAGCAACTGGTTCTCTACTTTCTTTTCTTTTCCTTGATCTTTTAGCTAAGAACATATCCAAGATTGATTCATTTTCCAGTGTTCCTCTTCTGAAAAGACTGCAATTCTTGTCTATGGACTGGACGTATTTTTTCATCTTCCATCCCTACTAATAACTTTTTCCTTAAAATCTAACTATTCTTCATCCTGAGAGTGTTTCCCTACCAGCTGGCTCTATGACAGCAATATGTGTTCTTTCTCCTGTAATGTTTATCTGTGACGTCTACCTCCATATTATCTTAGCACTGATGCACAAGTCTTTCTCCCACAGAAGCTGCCTGTTAAGCGTCCAGACATCCCTGAAAGCTTGTTAAAAATGAAAGATGATGGACCAGAGGAGGAGGAAGAGGAAGAAGAGGAAGAAATGGAGGAGGAGCAAGAAGTAGGTGCAATAAGCAGCAGAGCGTCAAACCTGGAGATGAAAATGACAACAGAGGAAGAAACAGGAAAAGAAATTAATGCTGCTGATGATTCTCCTTGCGATAACAAGAATCTAGAATCCCTTCAGGATGGTAAACTATTGGATTTGATTTTTCCAGTAATGAAGCTGAGTCTGTTACGGCTGAATTTTTCAGAGCTCTGTAAATCTCCTGAGGCTTGAGTCACAGGTTCTTCAGCAGATTTCTTTTCTGTAGATTTTTGCCATGAGTAGTGAGTCTGTGTGCCAACAGATAAGTTTCACATGGTTCTGGTTGAAATTCTGCTTGGCTGTCAGTTTTTTGAGCTTTTGGTAAAAATGTCCTGGACTCAGGAAAGGTCCTATTTTGATAAGCCCTGCTTTCATTCAATTGAGTGTCCACATGATAAAAAATGCAGCGTGTTGTTGGCAGGGAGAGTGACTTAGTAAGACAACAAATGTCTGTATAAAGCTTCAGATCAGTTTGTAAGGAGGGAAAATAATTTTAGAAGTGGTAATGGAGGGGTATCTTCCTTGTATCTGTGTGTTCTATCTTGAATCATAGAATAGTTTGGGTTGGAAGGATCTACCCTTTTCTATATCAACTGGATGCATTTGAAAATTCAGTAATGACTTTTCTTCGTAAATTATGTGTTTGACAGAAACCTAATTTTAACATCTTGTCTTTGTGCTGGAGAGGTTGCTCTTGAAAAGTATGTTTTAACTGGTCACAAGTCTTTCTTTAGTATTGTAATGTGATGGACTTGGTGGATGAAATAGTTTGGAGGACTTTTAAGAGGTGCTACCTGAGACAAATGTAGCTAAGAGTTCCCTTTTGTACTTTGTCTCAAGGATGGTCACACTCTACTCATCACAGTTACTGCAAAATGCTCACCTAACGCACTCTTTTTTTTTTTTTTTTCTTTTTTTTTCCTGCTTCTTCTCTCTCTTTTCAGGGGTTCATTTTCTGCCTGAGCCAAAGATACTACGGAATAAATCTCAATTGGGACCCTCACAAGAGAAATCTCAAGGTGAGCAGTACAATTTATACTCTATCGTACAGTAGCATGTGGGTTTAGAAACTGTCTAAAGGAGCTAATCGTGTCTTTTGTCAGGAGGAAAATAAGCCTAATCTAGAGCCTAAGGTAAGAATCTAGAATTCAAATAAAGGATTGTGTTTTGCTTGAGAAGTGGTAAGTGTATGGTGAAGACAGGTCATGTCAACTGTATTTCAGTTCTCCTTGCTTTTCATAGTCATTAACTGCTTTGGGATCCTTTGTCTTAAAAAAAAAAAATAACATGAGAAGAGAAGAAAAAAAATAATTTAGGAGCGTAAATATAATGCTTTTCCCCCCCATATCTTCTTGCAGTAGCTCTTGACACTACAGAAGGACAGAACTTTCCTTTTATAAAGTGACAAATACTACATAACATTAGCTAATAGTCTGCTAATGACCCAGATAACCCCTGTACGTGGACACAAAAAAAATTATCATGTCCTCAAATTGAAGACTGTGTTTGCTCTACTGAATATTTGGAAGAGATCTGTATAAATTTTCTATTTTTTCATAACTCAGACTCTTAAGAATATGTCATCCTGTCCTCATCATCTTGTTCATAGACTTAATCCACAAGAGTCTCAATATTTCACAGATAAGGTAGCAGAAAAAACAGGCATACTTCTATCTTTGTCTTCCTCTTGCCTATGTTAATCGAAATTACTTTTTTTAAAAAATTAAAGTATGTTGGTCCTGTGCATTTCCTTCCAAATCAGTCACTGCAGTGATTACAGATAGGTAATATCTTTTTAGAAAATAAACATCTGGCATTAACTAAAACTGTGTTACAGAATCCCAAATATAGGACCTTATTAAACTGCATTCATTTAGCTGGCCGATAGTGTTTGAAACATAAGTTAATATATGAAAGGAACCTGAAGAGACATCTGAGAAAGTTAAGAAAATGAATAGCGCAAGTAAGGTCAGTTATGATACCATGACTCGTGTAGCTCAAGAGATTCAAGGAATCATTTGGTAGTCTCTTTATTAGTGAAATGGTAGCAATTTGATTGAGTTCATATGACTTGGTGACAGTAGTGCTTTTCTGCTGACCGAGTAGAATCTCTGCCATTGGACACAGATTTCGGAGTCTTCAATGAGAAGGTAAAGCACAGCATTTCAAGCATGCTAGAGGCTCTCAATTCAATCACAAATTTATTTTTTCATCTTTTCACTTGGCTGTTAGCCTCTGCTAATTTCTGCTTCTCCTGTATCACAGGTGTTGTAGAACATAGGTTCCCTCTGGGCTTTAGAAATGGCATTGCAAAACTTCCTTAGGGAGTAGCTTGGGAAGTGTGTATTGGCTGACACGGAACATGCTGGACTAAAATTGCAGCTGGTCTGTATTACCATTATCAAATCTTATCCTTCCCTGTAGGTGTGGAAAGAGAGAAGTCTAAGAGATCTAAGAGTCTTTTGCAACCCAATTTTTACTAAATTTGAGTAGATGTACCAGAGAATGTTCCTCTTGTGCATAAGATTTGCATTAAAATGTAAAATACATAAGTCTTGGCCATTTTGGGACACAGGCAATTGTTGCCTTCCTGGAGCTGGTAGGGAACTTCTGTGACAGCATGCTCTTAGCCTAACGATTGTGTGGCTCTTCCCTTTAGAGTGCCCCCCACCCTCCTGCTGACTGCCATCAAAGAAGGTTACTGTGCTTGGTGGACCATGAGTTCTGACCATTATGATGATTGCGTTGTGGTGGCCATCTAATTTTAGTTCTGCACCACTTACTTAAAGAAATTTAGCTCCCTGCACAGCCTGTGTGTGCTAGCTGCCACCTTGTTAGTCCTGGCAAAGGACCCAAGGATTGGGTAGGCACAGCCTTCAGAATTCTCTTTTGTTGCTAGCCTATAAAGCATGTTGATAAAGAAAGCAAGAGTAAATTCATACTGTTAAAGACCAAGTTACACCATTTACCATAGGAATATGGCAGAAAAGGCAGCTTCTCATGCTGAGACAGTCAAGTCTGCACCTCTCATCAACACTCTAACACTGAGCATTCTCCAAGTACCAGATGGCTTAGCTGTATTCTCTCTCCCATCACAAATCACTTTTTCCATATGCTGTCTCTGCCTTTGGGCTCAGATCTTGCATGGAAAATATCAAACAGAAGTCACATTTGGGGTTTTTTTCCTCTTTTAATATTTAAGGAGTAACTTTGAATCATGTAAAACTGGAAAAACAATTTTAAAGTGACTGTTCACAAGCCATATTTAAAAACTGTTCAGCTCTGTAGTCTAATGTTTTGGAAAACATTATTCTTCCAAAAGAACTGTTTTAGAGCTTAAGCTGAAGAAGGAAAGTTTTTGAGGGAATGAAAAATTGCTTCAGCTGCATAACTTATGACTGTGTCATGATACTACAGAGTAATGCAAATCAGTGCTGAGTAACTTGGCTACATTTTGAGTTCTTAAGTCTTGCACTCTACAGTTGTATGATTTTTTTTTTTTTTTGAGAGCTACCGGCAGTTGTTCAAAACAAAAGTTGTTGAAAAAATGATGCTGATGTGGCAAAACTTAAAAATCCAGGAACAAAAAGACATCGATGCATCAACATTTGAATTGCGAGTGATATGTTTCAGTTTGCTTTAAACATTTCAGTGATGCCAGTGAGACATGAAAAAATTGGGTTTTCTTTTCTTTTGAAAAACTGTTACGCTTAAATAACAGCTGAACTTCTATATACTCCAGTTTGAAAGTCACCTTAAACGTGAAGTTTTCAGTGGGATTGCATGTTGAAATCAGTAAAGCACTTCTTGAAAATCCTACTCTAAAGCGTTTCCCTGCATAAAGAAATTCTGTGTCAAATGACACTACCAAACATTAGGATGATGAGACTAAACTGTCCAGATGTGGACAGTTGGCAGTGGTCCTCTTTTGATGGAGAGATTGGACTGGATGACCTTCAGAGGTCCCATCTAACCAGAGTTTCTATTTTTCCTGTGACTATACTGGGAATAAACTGGATCTATTTGAGGGTTTGATATTTCTTCTTTCCTCGGTATTATTGATTTCATCCCTGACTCATGTAGAAATAGACCTCAGCTTTCAGTATTTGTCTCTGAATTAATGAGAAATTTAGAGGCTGCGACACATTGCTGGAGGGGTGCAGCACCTTAAAAATCTTTTCTCCTTTTGCAGGTCCAACAACCTTTTTTTTCCTCGCAGTACCCAGATGATGACCCAGACTACTGCATATGGGTTCCTCCTGCAGGTATCAACAATCTCCTCCTTACCATTTTTAGTCTTATAACTCAAGAATCTACCTAATAAGTAGTCAGGGTGTCCTTGTAACTTCCTGAGAAAAAAGAAATCTGGGAATACTTTACCCAGAACCTGATGTTTTCTGGCACGTTATGCCCCATATTTGTTGTATCGCCATAGAAGTCTTGCAGTGAAATGCAGACCGTATCTGTAGCAGCCTCATCTCAATGGACAGATACATCTGAAGTTTGTTTTTCAGTTTTGTAATAGCTGAGAGAGCTAACTCCATTCACGCGCAGTGATATGATCTAGTTGAAAGACAAGCTTAAACCTTCACTAGGGATAAATGCTCCAGCACCATTAGTATTCTCAGTTTTCATAGAAGTCTGTGAAATCTGAAAATCTTCACTGCAGATCTTTGCAAAAAACCATTGGAATACAAACATTGGGTCATGTGTTTTGGAGAGAAGTCTTGATAACGCATTGGTGAAGGCACTGAATAATTGATTCATGCATCCAACATATGTTAAAGTTGAACAAATTTTCTACTTTAGTTCCAGAGTGTGTTTAGCTAAGTGAGGTTATTCTTAAACAGTGTAACGAATTTTAAGTTTTTCTAAAATGGGACATTCATTTTCATGCATTGAGGTTTTCATAGTAAGATCAAAGCTTAGCTTTCATTTGGTAGATTCATTACTATAATTTTTATAAGACTGTTGCAGGCTTGTAGTATAGATAGGCTCCAAAGGGAATAAGAAAAATGAGAATAAATTTCACTGAAGAAAACTATAATGTGGTGGATCATCCTTCAATGAAAAGGCTGCACTTCTCTGATATATGAATCCATTGGAACAAAATACCTGATTCGGTAACTCGGAGGTCTGATCTGGGATAGCCAAGTGAGCTGTGTCCATAAGAGGGAGCTCCTTTTTCTGTCTTTGTCTGCTAATAATCAGACATATCTTTTGTCTAAGCTGGCATAATGAGGACACCGGGGCCGGGAGGAAGAGGGGGGGAAAAAAACCCAAAACCAGCAGTGTATGATATAATCTTGATACTATGAGTAAGGTTAAGAGGAATTGTAAGTATAAATCAAAAGACTACTTGAATTGTAATAGCCAGTCTGACTCTTTGTGCTTGTCTGACTAGTGCTGCCTAGAGACTATTTCATACTTGGATACAAATTTATCTTGGATGACGGGGTAAAAATAATAATGCAGCTCTTCCTCTTTGTCCATTAGGTCAAAGCGGTGATGGCAAGACTCATCTCAATGAAAAATATGGCTATTAAGCTTCAAGTGCCCCAGAGTACATCCGAGGTTTGAAGAACTGCTTAAACTTTGTTTGGACTTTTCAACCACACCTTAAGTAAGGGATAAGAGAGTTGGGTTTTCAGAAGCTGTTCCCAGTTCAAGGGCATCAGCAGCCACTCCGGCTGTTAGCTCTCCCTGTCTGTCCTCTGTCTTCCAGATACTTTTTTAAAAGTAAAAGCCCACACCTTCTTCTGTCTCTTCTTCACCTTTCAGCATTGTCCTTTTTATTTGGCTTAAAACAGTAAGCTCATTTTTCCTTTTGTAAATAAAAATATACAAAAAAAGTATATAAAAAATACGCCTCTGTATACTTAAAGGCTTGATAAAATTTATTCATGTTGGTTTTATGCAATTAAAATGAGAAACCCTCCTGGTTTTCTTCTGTGACTGCTGTTTGAAGACTTTGTCAAGGTAAACACAACCTAAAACTTGAGGCTTGTGGGGTTTTTTTTCTTTCCTATGGGAAAAAAAAACCCTTCTGTTTTGAAAACAAAACTGTTTTTACTCGTCCTTCATGCAGTTGCTGGAACACTTGGTATGGAGTGGACTGGAAATGGTGAACGTACAGTGTTATAACGGTGTAGAAACACTAAAGAGCTGAACAGGCTGGCACTGCTTGTTGTGAATCAGAGGGCAACAAGAAACGATGGAAGAATATCCTGGGAAAAGTTGTAATGAAGCCTCTACTCCTGCCACAACACAAGAGCAAAGCACCATCTTAATGCAATCTGAGGCATGCCAGCTCTTTAACTTCCTATATGCATTTATGTAGTGTATATGTGCTATATATACACTAAAAAAAATCTATAATTTAAATATACACACATAATACTATGGGTATAAATTGGATAAATGTTCTTTAATAGGAGGTAATGAGATTACTTCCACTACCTAAGGGGGCCTACAGAAAAGGTGGAGAGGGACTCTATCAGGGAGTGTAGCAATAGGATGAGGGATAACAGTTTTAGACTGAAAGAGGGTAGATTTAGATTAGATACCAGGAAGAAATTCTTTACTGTGAGGCTGGTGAGACATTGGAACAGGTTTCCTACAGAAGTTGTAGGTGCCCCATCCCTGGAGGTGTTCAAGGCCAGGTTGGATGGGGCTTTGAGCAACCTGGCCTTCTAGTGGGAGGTGTCCCTGCCCATGGCAGGGGTTGGAACTAGATGATCTTTAATGTCCCTTCCAACCTAAACCATTCTATGAGTAATGGAAGTTTAAATGTGAATGGAAGTAATCAAACAAAAGCAAAGGGCAGGTTCATGGGTCGCTGTCCAAGGCTGGGGCTCAGCCCCTGTTTGGGGGCTGGGGGTAGGTAAAGAGAGTAGGGGGCTGTGAGCAAGCTGCAGTGTGCCCCAGGGCTCTATCCCCTCCAAGAAGGCCACAAAGGGGCTGCCAGGGCTCTGTGGGCACTACCAGGCCTGCCCATCCCTGGCCCAGCAGCCCTGGGCTCTCGGAGAAAAATGGACCTTTTCTGTTTGTCGCACTTAAGAGTCAAGCCTTTAACTTTTAATCAGTGCTTTCCTCCAAACTGCAAGTAGTGGTAGGATTTAGGACCAGAAAGACCCTAACTCAGTAATGTGGTTATCACTCATCAGCTCCCCTAAGTAGTCACTGACTGGGGGGATCCTGTCGCCTGAGTGACTCGCAGTTGTCCCAGTGCCTGTGTTGTGGTAAAGGCAAGGGTCATGCTGGACACCCAAGGGATGGTGAAACTCTGGGCACAAGTGTACAGTGGCAAGGAAAGCTGTAGAAATGCTACTGTTGCACTCCAAGGTCACACATCCTTTGGCGTGCTTCCACTGGGCAGTGGCTGCATCCTTATGGATAAATCACAGTAGAGAGCATCAGAAGCTGGGGAGGAGGGATAACCATACAACCCCTCTGCTTCTTGCAATGGTCATGTTAGAGCAATGGAGCTCACTCCAATTTTACCCCACAGAGAATGTAAAGCAGTTTGGCCGCTTGGTGTTCTGTAGCATTTTACTTAATATGCTCAAGCTGCAAAAGAGCATCTTTTTTCTGCCTGTAGTCTTCAACATATTTAGCGCTTTATTTTTTTTTTGTCAGCATCTGCACACTAGGCTGGACAGCCTGAAGCGTCCTGCTTCTGGCAGAGGTGTAGCTTAACATCATCCAAGGAAAGGCTGTTGCCCCTCCATTCAAAATGCCAGACCTCATAGGTTTCACCAGTAGCCCTTCTCCAGAACTGTGTTCAGTTCCAGGGTGCACCAGGCATCTGCAAGGGACTTCTGTTTATTGCATTGCACGCAGGGGGCCTGGCAGGTTTCAGACAAAGTGCAACACAAGCAAAGCGATAGTTTCCCATTTGTGCTTGTGGGAAGCACAGGGAAAAAGAGCCCATGAGGTACACATACCTGTACTTGGACCATCCTAAATTAGATGGTCAGTGTGTCAAAATTCTCAAAAAAAGGACTTCTGGGTTCCCAAGAGAGTATTTTTTTAATTTTGCTGATGAAAGGATAGGGCCTACCAAAATCATACTGATGTATCTTTTCATCAGGGGATACTTCGTAGTACAGACACATGGTATTTGTCCTGCTGCCAAAATGCACATCTCTGGGGATCGGGGACTGGGCAGTCTGGTCCTGGCTAAGACCATGAGCTCACCATCTGTTTCTTTTCATAGTGGCTCACTTGTGCTCCTATACAGATCTGATATTAAAATCTGCTTTCTTTAGGTGGTCCATCTTTTGTTGCATTGTGTAATATGAATACCCAAAGGTCATCCCTACTGGATGATTCCAGTCATTTTGATGGTAGCATTCAATACAACCGTGGAAAAAGCACGCATTATATTTGAAAGCTGTTGGCATCCCATCAATGATCACTTAGTCATCCTAGAAGTAAGCTCCCACTTGATACTCACCGCCACGTAACACAGGACACATTTGAATATTTTTCTTTTTGGTCAGCTATATATGTCATTGGTCAAATATCTCTTTTTCCTTCGATGATAACCATAAATGAGTATGGAGACATGCAAGTAGAGGCCACCATATTATACAGACAGGGATCTACACAGTGATAAACCTTCACTGTTTCGTCACTCACTTTCTCATACACTGTGTGACAGGCCATCACCATAAACTTACTTCTGTATGATCTGCGGGCCTCCCTCAAAATTTGTACATCTTGCTGGCAATAGTAACTCACTTCTTAATGCAAATCAAAGATCTCCCGAGGGTCTGTGTACATGTCAAGAATTGTGGGGTTTTTTTCCTTAAGCACTGCGCTGTGCACCCTATCTTAATCCTGTGTGGAAGAGGGCCTACATAAATTTGATTTTCAGTGGCTTTGAAAAAATGAAGGAAATAACTTTTGCAGACCTTGATACCCAACACTTAGGGAAGACTGCTTAGTTTCATGCGTAAAAAATTTAAAGAGTCTATGCAAATGAAAACTAGTTGCATATAAGTTTAGTACCCTGTGTGATTAATTACACACCCATTTTTCTTTCAGAAGCTGGCTGACAACTGAGCAGCCATCGTAGCCTTTGGCAGTGAAGTGTAGCCCTGAAACTTTGTGTCATTAAGCAGCTGAGTAAAGTCCACATGTCCCCTTTAAGCTCCCATTATCCTTCAGTTTTTCTTTCCGCTGCTTTGTCATCCCACGGGGCATCTGGCACTAACTCCACGTGCCCAGTTTTCTCCACACGTCCCATCTTGTAGAGAAGAGAGCCCCACATCCAGGGTTTTGATCACGAGCATGCAGTGCTGCTGCTGGCTTATGTTACAGGTCTGTTCATGGCACAGACCGCGCTTCCAGCCTCTGCATTTGAGATGCTTTTCCACGTAGCTCTTGCACTTTTTCACGTAAAATCAGAGCCAAACAATCTGGGTTCCCCAGGCCCATGCAGCAGCCTGCAGCTGGGGCACCTTCTTCTCACGGCGGCGTTAAGTACACAGCAAAGCAGAGCCGGCGATAATCTTTACAGCTATGGGTGTGATTATAGCGTGTATGGCAAAGCTCACAGAGGTTTCTCACCCCAAATACCTTTCCTGACCTCCCCAACGCCATAATGATGTTCGCTGTGTCAGCAGAGGAGAGGGGTCTTGGGATACCTAGGACTGTTGCCTACGAATTCCCCAGCACTTTTTTTTTTTGTCCTCCCAGTTAGGAGGACAATGAGTTCTTAACATGCAGCAGATCCTTGAACAAGGGAGTTCCGCTCAGCACAACCTTCCTGTGCGCAAAGCACTCTGGTTTTTCACGGAGCTCTTGTGCTCTGCTCAGCTGTTCTGCATCAGTCAGAGCCCTCGCTGCTGTCTCCAGCAAAACAGAAAACACCGTCACTGGTGGGTTTTAGCTCAATCATACAGCACCTCTTGTTGTCTGTAACATTAGAACAGGGATAGGCTGCATACCCTGCTCCAAACAGCTTTTACCCTAGTGGGGTGGAAAGTCTGATCACATCTCAGCTGTCTCTGATTTCATACAAGTGTACTGACCCACTCTGAAACTTTTTTCTGAATTCATAGTGCTTAAACGCACAGTGGAGGACTCTAGTTGAAGGTGTGCATGCAGACAGCTTTGAGACAGAGCTGAGCAAATATCACCAGGATCGAACATCTGGCATAACTCACCAGAAACTTCCTCTACAACCCAAACAAGCGCTTGGTGAGCTTCATGCAGCAATACCTCATGCAAATTAACAAACCTGTGCTTTTCTGCACACTGCCTAGCCCTGAACCTTGGGATGGGCCTTTCCCTCTGCCACGTGTGCTCTGTGGAAGCCACGGGTTGCGCTGACGTCCTCTCCACACCACCACCCCCCCGCCTTACATTTGAGGGTAGGGGTAAAGACAGACCTTCAAATGCATACCCTGGGGACTTGGGAGGGCAGCTGCTTCTGCCATAAGTGGTCTAACAGGACAATCTTGACTGCGTGCTGGGTTTTCTGCCTCTTCTTTGCTGCATTGACTAATGGATAAGAAAACATACAGAAAAGGCTGCA